ATATATATATATATATATATATATATATATATATATATATGCTCTTCCCTCCCCTCTTGATACCTCACTTCTATAAGGGGAGGAAGATTATCAGAGGAGGAGGGGGAACAACACTAGAAGCCAGACAGACAAGTGATGCTTGTTTTTTTTCCAGACTCAACAACAGAACTGAGAGGCAGAAAGGAGCCAGTTGTAATTCATACCGAGTTGTAGGCTTTGTGCGATGAAAGCGGTGGAGCGCTGCCTGGGAGATTGCTTTGCTGCACTCCACGAAGCAGATTTGAAACTGTCGTGGACCACTTTAGATGAGAGTTGGATTATGGAATGACCTGCTATGTCTGTGTCATATTGTTCTGTGCAGAGAGCATTATACTGTGCTAACTAGGTGTTCAGTACCAAATAAGAGAGGTATCCCAGACGCGGTCTGTCAGCTGTGTCTCATTTTTATATTCTTAAAATATAAAACAGAAACTGATGGGGAGAACCGAATAACTAGGTGGCATACATGTTAGCAGTATTGCATGCCGTATATTAAAATGTATGTGTGTGTTATTGCAGGCAACTATGACTGAATTATAATTTGACAGTATTATGTGTGTGTGCAATACACATTAAGTGTGTGTGTGTGTAGTTAACAGATAACTTGATGGGACTGATAGCAATAAGGCATATATATATGTATATATATATATATATATATATGAATTTGGTTTTCTATAATATTCTTATATGTTGAGTTTATCTTTTTTTTTATAGTGTTGAATTTTCCCCCCATTTTGGAGAATTCATATTATAGAGATTACAATAGGTATTACAATCCAGGAAAATCCTTGCCCATGTCCATATTAAGGGGAGATAACAAATAACAGATGTAGTCAGGGAGGAAGCTTCAATTGTTCTGATGAATGTTTAAGTAAATTTACTCTCTCTCCAAATGCTTAGGCTTGAAGATGCAGTGGACGCCGGAGCATGCCCAGTGGCCAGAACAGCACTTTGACATCACCTCAACCACTCGGTCTCCTGCTCACAAAGTTGAAGCCTACAGAGGTCATTTGCAGCGCACCTACCAGTACGCCTGGGCAAATGATGACATATCTGCTCTGACTGCATCCAACCTTCTGAAAAAATATGCAGAGAAGTATTCTGGCATTTTGGAAGGTCCCGTAGACCGACCTGTACTCAGCAATTATTCAGACACACCATCAGGACTCGTGAATGGTCGGAAAAATGATAGCGAACCCTGGCAGCCTTCCTTGAATTCAGAAGCCGTTTATCCCATGAACTGTGTTCCGGATGTCATCACGGCCAGCAAAGCTGGTGTCAGTTCAGCCCTCCCTCCGGTAGATGTCTCTGCAAGTATAGGGAGCTCCCCTGGGGTGGCCAGCAACCTGACAGAACCAAGTTACTCAAGTAGTACCTGTGGAAGCCACACAGTACCTAGTCTTCATGCAGGGCTCCCATCTCAGGAATATGCTCCAGGATACAACGGATCATATTTGCATTCTACCTACAGTAGTCAGCCCACACCTGCACTTCCTTCGCCTCATCCATCCCCGTTGCATAGCTCTGGGCTCCTGCAGCCGCCCCCTCCTCCTCCCCCACCAGCCCTGGTCCCAGGCTACAATGGGACTTCCAACCTCTCCAGTTACAGCTATCCCTCTGCTAGCTATCCTCCTCAGACTGCTGTGGGCTCTGGGTATAGCCCTGGTGGAGCGCCCCCTCCTTCAGCATACCTGCCTTCAGGAATTCCTGCTCCCACCCCCCTGCCCCCCACTACCGTTCCTGGCTACACCTACCAGGGTCATGGTTTGACACCCATCGCACCCTCTACTCTGGCCAACAGTTCGGCAAGTTCTCTCAAAAGGAAAGCGTTCTATATGGCAGGGCAAGGAGACATGGACTCCAGTTACGGAAATTACAGCTATGGCCAACAGAGATCGACACAGAGTCCTATGTACCGAATGCCCGACAACAGCATTTCAAACACGAATCGGGGGAATGGCTTTGACAGAAATGCTGAAACATCATCCTTAGCATTTAAGCCAACAAAGCAGCTGATGTCCTCTGAACAGCAAAGGAAATTCAGCAGCCAGTCCGGGAGGGCTCTGACCCCTCCTTCCTACAGTACTGCTAAAAATTCATTGGGATCAAGATCCAGTGAATCCTTTGGGAAGTACACGTCGCCAGTCATGAGTGAGCACGGGGACGACCACAGGCAGCTCCTCGCTCATCCAATGCAAGGTCCGGGACTCCGTGCAGCTACCTCATCCAACCACTCCGTGGACGAGCAACTGAAGAACACTGACACGCACCTCATCGACCTAGTCACCAATGAGATCATCACCCAAGGACCTCCTGTGGACTGGAGTGATATAGCTGGTCTTGACCTGGTGAAGGCTGTCATTAAGGAGGAGGTTTTGTGGCCAGTGTTGAGGTCCGATGCGTTCAGTGGGCTGACGGCCTTACCTAGGAGCATCCTTCTATTTGGACCTCGGGGAACAGGCAAAACACTATTAGGCAGATGCATAGCTAGTCAGCTGGGGGCGACTTTTTTCAAAATTGCTGGTTCTGGACTAGTGGCAAAGTGGCTGGGAGAAGCGGAGAAAATCATCCATGCCTCTTTTCTTGTGGCCAGGTGTCGCCAGCCCTCGGTGATTTTCGTTAGTGACATTGACATGCTTCTCTCCTCCCAAGTGAGTGAGGAACACAGTCCAGTCAGTCGGATGAGAACCGAATTTCTGATGCAGCTGGACACTGTACTAACTTCGGCTGAGGACCAAATCGTAGTCATTTGTGCCACCAGTAAACCAGAAGAAATAGATGAATCTCTTCGGAGGTACTTCATGAAAAGACTTTTAATCCCACTTCCTGACAGCACAGGGAGGCACCAGATAATAGTACAACTGCTCTCACAGCACAATTACTGTCTCAATGACAAGGAGTTTGCACTTCTCGTCCAGCGTACAGAAGGCTTTTCTGGACTAGACGTGGCTCATTTGTGTCAGGAAGCAGCAGTGGGTCCCCTCCATGCTATGCCAGCCACAGACCTTTCAGCCATTATGCCCAGCCAGTTGAGGCCCGTGACATATCAAGACTTTGAAAATGCTTTCTGCAAGATTCAGCCTAGCATAACTCAAAAAGAGCTTGATATGTATGTTGAATGGAACAAAATGTTTGGTTGCAGTCAGTGATTCAGTCTTTAAAAGTTAAAAAAAAACAAACAAAAAACAAAAAACAAAAAAAACATGTAATGAATGTTGGCACACACACACACACACACACATAAAACCTGCTACATAGGGAATAGAGCCCCTTTCCAGTAGTGTTTCAACTGCAGAGGGTCCTGGGGAAGACAACGTTTGCGTTGCAGCTGTAGAGTCAGGGTAGCTTTGGAGGAAACGTGCATCCGATGAGAGCCTCTGATTTGAAAGCCCCAGACGACAGAAAGCATATCTATGTGGATGCTCAGAACGGTTCAAGCTAGACAACACTCACCGAGACGCAAGGTGCAAGTGTGTCGATTTCAGAAGGACATGAACCTCGTGTGTTGATTCCATTCTGCTGTCTCAAGATTTAGTTGCTGTCAAGTGCCTGGAGTGGTGCTTTATTTTTTTTGTTTGCCTCACAATTACATTGGTGGCATGTGCTAATATAAAGAGCTTTAACTTCAGACATTGTCGGACTAAAGAGATGAACGGTTGTGTTCACAACAGAAAACCAGATTTTTGCCATTTTTAAGAGCAACAGTATTCCTCAATCCTGTCTGTTCTGCGGTGTTAAGCTAAGAACAGGTAAAACAGGGTAACGGTAATCTGGACCTTAATGTCTGCAGTTCATTTCTTTTAATGTTCTTGTCTGCAAAAACTCAGGAAAGTGATTGTGATTTGTACAGTACCTCAAAGGAATGTGTTCAAAGCACTATGTACTGCTGAGAGTTATAGGGTAGGCTTCAATGTTACTTTATATTAAAATGTATGTTTACCTCAACAATTGGAGAATAGCAAGGAAAATTACTTTGAATGTATCCGGAAAAATTACTGAAGTGTGATACAGCTGAATATTTACAATTTAAAGTAGAAATGGAAGGATTTTTCTTTAAAGTTCTCTAACGAATTGTGGGGAATTAACCAGAGCAGAACAATTACTGAAGAGTTTTTAATACATTGCTCTCCTTGATGATGAAGTGAAAATGTTCATAAAAGTTACACTGGTTAATTGAAAGCTATGTATTCAGTTTGTGTTGGTGTTTAGAGCAGTCAGCCACAGACCTGTTTTAGGACCCTGAAAGTGACGGAACCTAACAACTGTAACTGCCTTTTACTGCCATGGTAGAGGTGGTGGTGGTTTTATTTTGGAAGCTCTCTCTCTTAAACTGCTAGGGATGGTGTCATTCTGTTCATTAAGAGTTTGTAGGCTTGCTGTGCTGTTTCATAGAATGCAGAGGATAGAACCAAATCAAACATACAAATTTTAAAAAAGAAAAAAAAAAGCAACCAACTGTATGTATCCACAGAGAACCTCTCCATGCCCCCCTCCCCCACCCCCATCTTGACGTCATTCTTCACAGAGCACTTTCGCTTCTCATCTTGGACCACCCTGGCTGTAGTACTCCCCTGTCCATTTCTACCTCGGTTTCATTACATTTCTTTTGGAAAAATTAGACACAGACATGTATACCACAGTCGAGCTTGCCAAATGTGGGTTTGTTGTTTGTTTTGTTGTGTCGTGTTGTTGTATTGTGTTCCCTTCCATCTTTTTGCCATAATCTAGTTTCCCAAAACACTAATCTTCAATGCGTTCTTTCCCTGCCGAGCACGACCGCATGGCATATGTGGCGTTTTATTCCCACTCCCCACCTCTGTTCCTGCTTCCCGCCAGGTTGTCCTTTGTCTCCTGTCGTGCGTGCGTGCGTGCGTGCGTGTGTGCGTGCGTGCGTGATAGGCAAGTTTTCCGTTGAAAGCTGGCTGATGTTCACCAATGCCTCTCGCAGCCACAGTGCAGGACAGAGCTTTCCAAAGCCGCTGCCTGTGCCCACGCAGAGGAGCCTAGCATTTTGAATGTATTTTCCTGGGTTTTGCCCCTCCTTTTTTTGTTTTTTTTCTTTGTTTGTTTTTTGTTTTGTTTTAATTTAGAGATGCAGTAACTGTTGCAATGCACTGGCATTTTGTGTATTCAATAAGTGATGTACATTTTAAGGTAATTTTAAATAAATGCAATGGCAGCCCCATGAAAGGTCTTTCTGTTCTTTTTTTTTTTCTTTCAAAAAAATTTTTTTCCAAGCTCATCTGTAAATTAATTCTTTGAAATACTTAACACAGAAAAAGTGAATGAGGAACTCATGGTATTTCAAAATTTTATGATATCTGATTAGTAATCTCCCTCTTTATTTTTCGTGTTGCTAAAACTAAGCAAATGAACTAGAATTTAATGGACTCTGATAGTCTATCAACTAACATTATGTTATATATATAAATATTCCATATTTTAAAAGCAATGCCTTTCATGGAGGATACAAAAATGATGATAATACTAAAATATTCCCTCTGCTTTTCATAAATGAATAAATGTTACAGTGATATTCTGGATCTACCCTGAGTACTGCCCATGGAAAGGAGATTCTGATATCTACTAACTCCTGGGCCCATATTTGATCTCACTCACAAATTTACTTTCCTGCCAAGTACTAATCCATCTTTTGTTTTTAGATTTCACATCTCATTTCCACCAAAATGCTATGTTCACTTAAAAAAAAAAAATCTGGCAAGTTGTGACAAACCCAATCTTCTTTAGTCAATTTTCAAGAACCCAGTTATTAACTCACGTTTTTTTTGGTGTGTGGTTTGTGAGACTTAATGCCAAATATATAAGATAACAATTGTGTTTTGTTTTCACAATGCTGATAATAAACTGAAGTCATATGTGTTGGCTTTTAGCTTTAAATGGCTTTAAATTTGTTTGAGATATGAATGACTTAAGATTAGTTTGAGATAGGAGTGGTTTGAGATACATGTATTTAGCAGAAACTGAAATTACATGTGATTTCCACTTAGTTTAGGCCGTTCTAGGATTATCTGTTAGCACCCTGGGCAAGTTGAAGAAATGAAAGTCTCATACTCTACCATAGTTTTCAATTCCGTGTGACATCACTATAAATGCTTCCACGGACTGTCCTAATCACGACCTCTTTTTTGACCAATCATTTGAGAGCTTGGGGGTAGAACAAGTTCCAGATCTTCAGAAATGAGTGTGTACATCGAGTCCTAGTACAACTGAGTAAATCGGCCTTTTACACTTGCCCGGGCACTCTTCGACTGCTTACAGTTTGGCAGAGGCTCCTAATGAGGGTAAGGTAATGAGCCAGTCATTCCCTTCCTGTCCAGGGAGGAGGTTCATCTAGCCTACTTTACAATCCCTGAGTCCTTTCTTCACAACTGTAATAACATTTCCAACAGGGACGAAAAGGAAGAGAGGGAGACTCCGTCAGTAGAGGGATCAATAGACATTCAAGAGGTAGTGCGTAGTGACTTTATGTGGGACACAAGTGAAAATCCTCCACACTGCTGGCTTGCTTCTCTCCAAAATATTTAGAACATTAGTGACAATATGGAGAACTTTGCTGACTGAGCTGGTCAATGGAATGTGAAGGCAGTATACTTTAAGGCTATTTACTTTCACACAGAATGTTTATCTATTAGTCAGTTTGTATTCTACTCAAATGCAGATAGACGGGTATAATGTTTTCTTGTGCATTTGAAACCTATCAAGGAGAAAATAAACCATTCCACTGAAATACATAGGCCAAACACCATCTGGACAAGTGATAAAAGCTATCCAGAGGCTATACTAAATGCAAGGTCAATTTACATGGGTTGCTGAGTACTTGGCTATGCAGTTTTGAAAAGAATACATCCAAAAAAAAAATCCAAATTAATTCTTTTTTTTTGCAATAGGTCATTGTAAATTTAAATATATTTCTAAGTCAGAAAAGGTGTTTTAGAGACATTTAGAACCTCTTTCTCTGAAAATATATCCAACCCCAAGCAGAAAAATATTTCTGTACACCAACTCTTTCCTGTTTCTTAGCAAGAATTGGGAATCCCAATTATAAATCCATATTACAGAGTGAAAGGCACATAGTTTATTGAACTATTGAGGCCACTAAAGTTCTAATATATATAAGTATAAATATAAATATAATTAGTGTGTGTGTGTATGTGTCTGTATGGGTGTGCTATTTCCACCACCACCTATTTGAACTTTAAAACGAATTCATTTTTTACATGATCCCAAAGCAACTGGTTTCTTCCTTTTTCCTATGTGCCAAAATACACATGACTACTTCAAAATTCTGTTTTAATGTGACTTTTTTCCTTAAGAAAGGTAAAACTCTTCAGTTTTGAATGATCTGCCGATTTAATGAAGCATATTAGCAAACATGGAGCTGTTAGTATTTCAGAATTCACATCCAGCTGTACTCGTGACGAACCAACACATGAACTAAAGCTCACAGTCTGCTAAGACCTTTGGTTGACATTCGATTTTGAACCTGCCAGATGCATTTGTGTGAACCAGGGATACTGCATCTTTAATGAACAAGTCTCTCCTCTTTCCCCTGTTTTTAAATACAACACAAGTGGTGTAGCACTAGGCGCTGCAATTGTCAAAGACAATTAGACTGAAAGCAGGAAAATTTCACCTCCCTGTCTCAGTGATATGTAGAATGTCGGCAGCATGGGTCAGCCTTGCCACAGAGTGGTGTGAGAAGATATGAATCAGTCCTATAGAATGTTAAATATTTATAAAATGGTTTTGTAGTGCACCAAGGTTGGGAGCACATTCATTCCTTCTTTTTGTCTTATGATATAAAAGGAAAAACTAGAAGTTTATTTCTAGGCTTATTCTCTCTCTCTCTCTCTCTCTCTCTCTCTCTCTCTCTCTCTCTCTCTCTCTCCCTCCCTCCCTCTCTTTCTCCCTCCTCTCCCCTCCTCTCTCCCTCCCCTCCCTTTCTTCCCTGTGTGGATCTGTGTATGAGTGAGTTCCCTT